CAATTGAAGAGCTTGATAAAAAGTTAATAAGATATAGTGAAAATTACCCCAATATACTACAATTTAGAATAGAATTATATATTAAAAACCAAGGAAGAAGAAATATTAACCTCTAATTATTTATGATGTTTAAACTAATATACGAATTTATTAGATCAAAGAATGAATTTGTTTAAATATAAGAGACAAATCTCTAAAACTATTCATAAAAAAGGGATATGTCTTGTAATAAATAAAACTTATATCATTAAAGATAAAATACACACTTCTATGAAAAGATTAAAAGGCTTGGCCAACAAAATCAATTTGAATACTGGCCTTTAAAAGGCACGAGTGAGCCAAGCGTCGAAGCGTTATCTCTCATCATCGCCTAAAACTTAACGACTTCAAACAGCACACTGCTTTGCTTTCTCCGCCACCAAACTCTATATACATTTTGGATTCATTTACACTCTACGCACAAAATCCACCGCCGTTCCATACAATTCCCGCCACTTGCTCACAGCGGAGCTCCGACGTTGCAATAATGTCTCAATCCCTCTACCTTTTCATTTCCACCTCATACTCTCCCAAACCCCTCAACAACCAATCCTTCACCCAAAAGTTAAATTTTAACTGCAAGCGAATTGCACATTTCAGAATCCCTCAAAAAAATGCTCTCACTGTCAAAGCCTTGGTTTCGGATTCGAATCCGTCTGTTNGGTTTCGGATTCGAATCCGTCTGTTTTAACCTCGGATAATGGTGCAGGCGGAGTGTTATCCCCTACGCCGCAGGATTATGCTTCTTATGCTGCACCTGCGGTGGCTGATCCGAGCGCAATTGAGGTTGATTCGGTGACAGAGGCGGAATTGAAGGAGAATGGGTTTCGGAGCACAAGGAGGACGAAATTGATATGCACTATCGGTCCAGCCACGTGCGAGGCGAAGCAGCTGGAGGCACTGGCGGTGGGGGGAATGAATGTGGCGAGAATTAATATGTGTCATGGCACGCGCGAGTGGCACCGGGAAGTGATTCAGCGTGTTAGGAGACTGAATGAGGACAAGGGTTATGCAGTGGCCATTATGATGGACACTGAGGGAAGCGAGATTCACATGGGGGATCTTGGCGGCACCTCTTCCGCCAAGGCTGAGGTACATTACAGATTCACTGGGATGTTCATTTATTTAATGCTTTTAGTATAATAAACTTTGGTGGTGCTACAGCAGGCAAAGTGTGATTACTGAAAAAATGGGATATTTTGATATATTGTTGTAAATCGTGGTTCTTTTTGCGCGACTTAACCAGGTACAAGTGCGACGGGAGCTGGTGCTTTTTATTGGCTTTAGATGTAATGCATTTAAAAAATTCAAAGTCGTTTATGATTTTCGTAAGTAACTCTATCTAATTAATTTCTTAGCAGCTTCCTTGAAAATTAACCGTGTGGTATGATAGTGAGACCTTTTGATCTTATCTCCGACTCCACCAAGCTGAGGCATGTTTATAAGTAGTTGTGTATTTTCTTGTCCAAATGACAATAATTACTTTGGAATATTTATATGTTATTTAGTGTTTGTCGACTAATTAAATGCTTGTAAATCTAGCCCTTGAAAGTCTAGTCAGAGAAACTGTGAAGCTATGAATGAAAGAGGTTTTCTGTTGTTATTTAGTGTGTGAAAATGATTTGTATTGATGAGAAGGGAGTGAAGTAATAAGGCTTACCTCAACTTCTGAGGCAGCTGATTCTCATACGACTTTTCAGGCCAAAATACAATCTTATGCTGTCAAAGCTTGGGGTAGATGAACAAGCTCTGTAAGAATCAAGAAAATGAAACATATTCTAGACAGAGAAAATAGTGAGAAGAATACAAAACTTTGTATCTCAAATTATTAAATTCATGGTTGGAGATTTGCTTTATTTTATACAATTCAATTGCAGTAACCAACAGTTACAAGTTGACATGGCATCCACAAACTGCAACCACTAACTAACCTATAATTTTGGAGCCATTTATTTGAAAACAAGTATATTAGTATCAGTGCACAACAAAATTTTGAGATTTATTTCTCTTTATGTGTGTGTATAGAGAATTTGGTTCAATTGTGAAATTTTCTGCAGGTTACTCATTCTGAGGTTACTTTTCTGTTTTATTGTGTAAAAGCCAATGTATAATTCTAAAAAGACCTACAATTTCGAGCAGTAATTCAGCACTTATTTGCCAACTGTGTATAGGGAATTTCAGTACTTCTTTAACAGAATACAACTATAAAAAGAAGCAAAAATATTTTGGAGTGTATGATTATTTATTGATTCATTCCGGCTGCAACATTTTTTGGTTGATAATGTGAAAATTTATTTGACAGAACTGAGCTGACATCACTACTGAGAAAAATCTCCTCCTATTTCAAACAGAATTCTGTTTTAAGTTTGTTTTTTCTTTTTATTTATCAATAAGATTTTTGGGTATAGTTACTTTAAGATGATAACATCAACTACATAAAGAATTTCTAAGAGAACAGAAACTACTTGCAACTTTTGAAGTTCAAAAGTCGAATACATATAGAACATCTTCAAAAGCTCTTGAGTTTGATAAGAAAAGTCAAATATGGAATTTGAAGTGATAATAACATCAATTAGATTTTTGGTTTAGTTAATTTAGATGATAACATCATCTAAGTATTGAATTTGTAAGAAAGCAAAAATTATTTGCAATTTTTGAAGTTCAAAGGTTGAATATAAATAGAACATAGCGTTTAAAGCTATTGAGTTTGATAATAAGAGTCAAACATGCAATTTGAAGTGAGATAAACAGAATAGAGTTACTGCCAGTTATTCAGCACGAACGTAGATGTGGGGTCTTGGTAAAACTTATGGTTCTGCAAAACAGTTCTAATTCTAAGGCATTATCTGAATAGATTTTTGGTTTTATTTAGCATATTTTACCTTTTTTGCTCATTGAATTTATGTTCTCACGTACACTCTTATTACATGGACCCCTTGAATATCTCTAAGCTGCACATTCCTTCAAAAGGTTGGTGTTCCAAATTGTTTCTTTAGTATTGCTACAATTACTGATATATTTTCTTGAGACTTATCAGAAAACTCTGTCTTCTTGGGAAACACAATGTGTTCTTTTCATATTAGAAAAGCAACCATGAATGTCTTTTGCATTGAAACGTATAAGTTACTGTGTGCAATTTGTGCTGGATCTAAAGTTCAATTTAATCATATGCAGGATGGGGAAGTATGGACTTTCAGTGTTCGAGCATTTGATTCCTCTCTCCCAGAACACACCATTAATGTCAATTATGAGGGATTTGCTGAAGGTTTGAAGCACATATTTTAAATTCATTCATATTGTACATTACTATACTTAATGACACCATTTTTTCCTGTGTTTTAACATGCATATTACATGTGATCTTAACTAAGTTTTGGCCAAGCTCTTGCATGACAGATGTGGAAGTGGGTGATGAACTTTTAGTAGATGGTGGAATGGTGAGGTTTCAAGTGATTGAAAAAATTGGTCCAGATGTTAAGTGCTGTTGTACAGATCCCGGACTTCTGTTACCTCGAGCTAACCTTACCTTTTGGCGTGATGGGAGCTTAGTACGGGAGCGTAATGCGATGCTTCCAACAATATCCTCCAAGGTTCTTACCTCTTTTCCGTCAATGCATTCTTACAAAAATAATGCCCCTTAGCTCAATTTATCTTCCTATGAAGACCTGTTTTCTAAGAAATTTGATCCTTCGCTCCATTTGCTGTTAAAATGTATCATTTTGTAGCAACAGGAAGAAACCAGTGTTAGAGAGACCTGAGTGGCTGAGACCATCAATAATGAAATATTTTAGCTCTGGGTATCATTATATCCAAATGTCCAATTAATTCTCATATGCTGATATTAATAGATAATTGTTGTTCTCTAAATGTTGACTTGTTATATAGACAGTTTATTATGCAGAAATTATGCAAAACAAAACTATACTAATGATTTGTTTATGTTCAACTATACTTGTGTAACATCGCATTGTTGTCCCACATCGACCAAACTTATGACTTGAGATATGGTTTTCACTAAAATTTCGGTTAATCATTCTGCCCTGGGTAGAACGAAGGGAGTAAATAGTCAAATCTTGTGCCTACTAGTGGTATCGACCAATGCTTGAAGTTCTGGATGAGCTTGGACATTAGAATGTTAAGACTTTGACAGGCAGTTATGTGTTACACCCTTATTGCAGTCCTACTCAGTACTCAGTTGTGGTATGTTGGTTAGATAAAAATATGAGTTTTGTTACGGATATTTTTAAGGTCAAGTTGTGTTAGTTTAGAAACAAATATCAATTTTTTAAAATTTCACCTTCTATGTGAAATTACACTAATTTCTTGGATATTGTAAGGTTGAATTACGCACACCTTGTAATTTTCAATCTTTTGGTTGTAGTACAATCACAAGCAGAGATCATTTATTGCTCAATTAATACCCTCTGAGGAAGAAGTTTTGATGAAGAGTCATGGTATAAAAAAGCGGTAGTGAGGCGCGCCTCAAGAGGCGCATGTAGTATGCCTCAAGGCGGTATTTTTGAGGCTAAAAATACGAGGCTCACGCCTC